GAAGGAAGGAAGGAAGGAAGGAAGGAAGGAAGGAAGGAAGGAAGGAAGGAAGGAAGGAAGGATGGATTGACTTTGTGGTCTCTGAGCTTAGTTATTTTCTTGCAGATGTTTCATGACCCAACCAGGGAACATCATCAGTTCTAGGAGGAAGGGAGGGAATGAAGAAGGGAGGGAGGGAGGGATGGAAGAAGAAGACAGGGAAGGAAGGAAGGAAGGAAGGAAGGAAGGATTGACTTTGTGGTCTCTGAGCTTAGTTATTTTCTTGCAGATGTTTCATGACCCAACTAGGGAACATCATCAGTGCTAGGAGGAAGGGGGGGAATGAAGAAGGGAGGGAGGGAGGGAGGGATTGAGGACGAAGAGAGGGATGGAAGGATGGAGGGAGGGAAGGAAGGAAGAAGGGAAGAAAGGAAGGAGGAAGGAAGGAAAGACTTTGTGCTCTCTGAGCTTAGTTCTTTTCTTGCAGACGTTTCATAACCCAACTAGGGAACTTCATCAGGGTGAGAAGGGAGTGGGGTTTACAGAGAGGTGGAGGAGGAGGAGGAGGAGGAGGAGACGGTGGGTGCTCTGAGCTAAGTTCTTTACTTCTAGCCAACATCACCAGGGCCAACTGACACTTAAGCAAGGGCCCATCTCCCTCGCGGAGGGACTCCGGCTTGGCTGGCGTGCAAATGAAATATTAAAAGCGCCCCAAAACACACGGATGGAAAAGAGGCGAAGGAGGTTAAAACTGAATTCCCAGGCGGGGACGAAGAAGCGGGAGGAGGAGGAGGGGGGCACCTTTCGGGGGCCCTTCCCTTCCTCCCTGCTCACGGGGGCCCCTCTCTCCCCTCTTCTCTTGCAGCGAGGCGGCCGCTCACGCTGTGGCCACCCTGGCGGAAGCCACCCTCCAGGGCGGAGGGCAGATCGTCTTGTCCGGCGAAACGGCAGCGGCCGTGGGCGCGCTCACCGGGGTACCAGACGCAAACGGTAAGCCGGACCTGATAAGCGCCTCGCGCCTCGGATTCCCCGCGAGAGTTTGCCGCCCCGAACAATCGAGGGTGGAAGTTTTTTGAGGACCAACAAGCCCCCCCTGGCTCTGTTGGATCGCAGTGGCCTGGGGGGGGGGAGTTAGTTGGGAGATAGGACATAGAAGAAGAAGATTGGAAGGGACCTTAGAGGTCTTCAAGTCCACCCCACCCACCCCCTTGCTTAAGCAGGAGATCAGAAATCTTCCCATTTGGACTTTTTCATCCCTGGCGGGGGAAATCCATCCAGGTGCTCGCTTGGAAAAATCAACAGCTATCTTGACAGCACCTGATCCTCACCTGGGAATTTGAGTTTCCAAGACAAGCCAGAGCCACGCCTGGTATTTACACGCACGCACACACACACACACACACGGAAAAAAATCTGCCCGGCTATAAGTCTTATCAGCCTTTCGACATAGCCAATCATTCCTCCTTTCCTCCCTCCTTTCCGTTTTCCTTCCTCCCTCCCTCCCATTGTCCTTCCTTTCTTCCCCATTGTTCTTCCCTCCCTCCAGTTCCCTCCTCCCCCACCCCAGGAAGATGAAGGTTCAGCCACACCGTGGGTCACGTGGGCTGGGAAAAAGTGGGGAGGGTCTTAGCAAGCAGTGGACCTGAGCAGGCAATTCGTTCTGTCCTCGATCCAAGACTCAGCCGTGATTTATGTATTCCCTGAACCTCCCTTCGTCCCTCCCTCCATCCCTCCCATTGTCCTTCCTTCCTCCCTCCTTCTCATTGTCTTTCCTCTCTCCTCCCCATTTTTCCTTCCTCCCTCACATTGCCCTTCCTTCCTTCCCTCCCTCCTTTTTTCCTCCCTCCCTCCCTTCCCATTTTTTCTCCCTCCATCCTTCCTCCCTCCCTCTTTTCCATGTTCCCTTCCTTCTTTCCTCTCTCACCCTCCCTCCATCATTCCTCCCTCCCTCCTTCCCATTTTCTCTTCCTCCCTCCCTCCCTCCCTCACCCTCCTGCCTCATTCTCATTGTTCGTCCTCCCTTCTCTCTCCCTCCCTCCTTCCCATTTTCCTTCCTTCCTTTCTTCCCCATTGTTCTTCCTTCCCTCCCTCCTTTTTTCCTCCCTCCCTCCTTCCCTCCTTCTCACTGTCCTTCTTCCTTCCTTCCCTCCTCATTGTCCTTCCTCCGTCTTTCTTTCTTTCTTTCTTTCTTTCTTTTTCTTTCTTTCTTTCTTTCTTTCTCCCTCCCTCCTTTTTCGATACGTTGCTCCACAGAACTCCAGTCTTCTCACAGGAAAAGTTCCATCTTCTCTCTCAGAGCAGCCCAAATCCCCCTTAGCCTTCCCTCTTCGGCCCTCCCTCCCTCCTCCCGCAGAATCCCATCCAGCCATTAGTGGCAGAAACCAGTGGGGAGAGAGTAGATTCCCTGAAGGATCACGTGATCGCCCTTTCTGATCCTCTAAACCCACCCGCAGCTGCTACCCGGAACTTTAAAAACCCAGAGTTAAAAATCTGCATGGAGGGGGGGGGCACCCACCCTCCCCTCTGCCCTCCCTTTTCCCCTGTCACATCAGATGATTTGCTTAATGCCCTAAATCAGGGCTCTCCAACCTTGGCCACTTTAAGACTTGTGGACTTCAACTCCCAGAATTCCCCTGGGGAATCCAGCCAAACCCCTTTTATTTACACGGCTGTGAATCCCTTTCATTCACAGTCCGCAAGGCTTTAGCAAACAGTCTTTCCGAGGAATATTTATCCACACGAACCTCATCTTGCTTGGAGAGCGTCCAGATAACTAGTTTCCAAACACCGGGCAAGGCAACCCTTGGCACAGAGTCCTAAATTACCCTAAATTACTCCTGAAGATAAGTCCCTGCCAGGAAGGAAGCCCCCCTATTCTCTGCAGGATGCCAACCCCGGGGCACAGCACCCATTCCGGGGTTGAGGAGGGAGGGCAGGCCCGGAGGCTGGCGCTGGGCCGTGCAGAGGGAACCTGCTTCCAAATTTTTGCGTCGTACGGGATCTTCTCGTCCTGTAAGCTAAGGTGGGGCGTTACGCCAGCTGCCATCTCGGCCCAACTCCTCGCGAGCAGCTGGCACCGCCTGGATTTGTGCGGGATCCAATAAATGCTGGAGCCTGGCATGCAACGAGATTGGCCAACAACAAGCAGAGAGAGATTAACAATATCAGAGAGCCAGTTGGTCTAGTTGGGGAGGGGCCTCCTCCTTTTTCTTCCCCTTCTCCTCCTCCTCCTTCTTCTCCTCCTTCTCCTCCTCCCTTTTCTTCTCCTCCTTCTCCTCCTCCCTTTTCTTCCCCTCCTCCTTCTCCTCCTCCTTCTTCTTCTTCCCCTTCTTCTTCTCCTCCTCCTTTTTCTTCCCCTCCTCCTCCTCCTCCTTTTTCTTCCCCTCCTCCTTCTCCTCCTCCTCCTTTTTCTTGCCCTCCTCCTTCTCCTCCTCCTTCTTCTTCCCCTCCTCCTCCTTCTCCTTTTTCTTCCCCTTCTCCTCCTTCTCCTTTTTCTTCCCCTTCTCCTTCTCCCCCTCCTCCTTCTTCCTCTTCTCCTCCTTCTCCTCCTCCCTTTTCTTCCCTTCCTCCTTCTTCTCCTCCTCCTTCTTCTTCCCCTTCTCCTCCTCCTTTTTGCAAACCCACTCCCTTCTAGCCCTGATAATGTTACCTAGTTGGGTCATGAGAAGTCTGCAAGAAAACAACCAAGTTCCGAGAGCACCAAGGACCCCACAGCCCCCCCTCTTCCTCCTCCTCCTCCATGCCACAAACCCTGCTCCCTTTTAGCACCCATGACGTTATGTTGCTTTGCCACAGGAACCCAAAGCTCAAACCCGATGCCCGTAACTCCAGTTTGGCCCAGCTCAGCTAGAGAGGGCCCATGAGGGGGATGGGGGGGGGGCTAACCAACCAGGCCTCTTTTCCCCTTTCTGGTGTGGGGTGCCCAAAACCTGCTCCCTATCGTCTCTCGCGAGCCCCCTGTGTCCCAATGACCTTCTCCAACAGGGACAGCCGGCTTTGCTGCTGAAAGCAGATAATGCGGCCACAGTAATCCTTGGGCAGGAAACAGCTGCGCAGAAAGCTGGCAGAGGAAGCTTTGCACCACAGAAATGCCCCCCCACACACACACACACAGACAGAGATACACATATGCAGGCACGCACCCTCCCGACCACAGGTCCTTCCGTGAGCTCAAGAGACCATAAGGCAGGCCTGGCCCGCTGGGATGAAGATTGTGGTGTCCCCACCAAGTTGTGAGGTTGCGTGTGACACTCTTAGCGGATTTATCCCAAAACAGAGAAGAAACGCAGCATGGTGGTGTTCTTGGTCTTGGTCTTCTAGTCCAACCCCCTCCTCAATCAGGAGACCCTCTACCACTCCAGACAAATGGCTGCCCAGTCTCTTCTTGAAAACCTCCAGTGATGGATCCCCCATGGTTTCTTCTTCTGCAACTTCTGTTCCATCTACCCATGTATCTGTCTGTCTGTGTACCTTATCCCTCTTTCTCTCTCTCGTATCTATCTATCTATCTTATCTATCTTTCTATCTATATCTATCTATCCATCCCATATGTCATCCATCNCCCAGAATTCCCCAGCCAGCATTCGCTGGCTGGGGAATTCTGGGAGTTGAAGTCCGGACATCTTCAAGTTGCCAAGGTTGAGAAACACTGGCTTAGCGAACCCCCCCCAGACAGCCTCAGTCGTACACCGAGGACCTCTCGTCCTTGTCCTTCGTAATCCAGGGCACCTTCTGAAATAGCCACGGACTAAACGAGCCCAAGTTTGGGGATCCGATGACAGTCTGTTAAATCGGGGAAGGGGAAGAGAGAGGTCACCCCCCCTTTTTTTTAAACCTTGCTCACCCCCCCACCCTTGGTCTCCAGGCCTTTGTAGCAGCCTCATTCCCCCCGCCCCCCCCTCCGCCCCAAAAGGGTGTAGGATTCTGAGCGCCATAGAGGGGCAGCACAAAACAGCTTTTGTTCCCCTCCAGAAACCGTATTTCCATCTGAAAAAGCCAGCTAAAAAGGGTGGGTGGGTTTTCCTGATTCTGCCCTTGGAAATTCGCCCGAGGAAGACAAGCCTCCATTGTCTGAGCAAAAACTGGACACTTCCCACCTTGCTTAGGCCTTCTGACGGGTGTTTTAGCCCACACACCTGCTCTGATACAGATGGTCCTCGACTTACGACCCTAGGTCCTCGGCTTGCGACCATCGAGGAGCCTGTCCATCCTGGTCGTCAAAACAGGCCCCAGCTGTTTTGAGGCAGCGGCCGTTCACTGAACGCCACGGTAGTAAAGCAGCCGTCGCGGTCATTAAGCGAGCGCCGTGGTCGCTAAGCGAACCGGTAGCTTTCTATGGGCTGGTTTTTGCCAAACCTTGGAAGCCAATAAAACCGTTGTTGTGAAATGCAGGATGGGGGCAGGTGGCCATAAATGCGGGTCACGTGACTGCAGGATGGGTTGGCTTATGACCACAATTTATGTCCTTAAGCGAGACATTTGTTAGGTGGGTTTTACGCCATTTTACGACTTTTCTCGCCACCGTTGTTAAGTGAATCGGGCTTTCCCCATTCACTTCACTGGTCACAGAAGGTGGCAAAGGGGCATCACGTGAACCTGCGACCGTCATAAATGTGAGTCAGTGGCCAAGCACCTGAATTTTATTCACTTGACTACGGAGATGCTGCAGTGGTCGTAAGTGTGGAAATCGGTCGTAAGTTACTTTCTTCGGTGCTGTTTGAACGGTCACTAAACAATCTGTCGTAAGTGGAGGGCCCCACCTTTTGGGCACCCGGCGTAACTTTGACCGTTTGCTGAGTGACCGGACGTAAGCCGAGGAGTCCTTCAACGGGTCTCTTGTCTCCTCCGTCCCGCCAGGTGGAGCAGAACTGGGCGACGCTACAGGGGGGCGAAATGACCATCCAGACCACCCAGGCCTCCGAAGCCACGCAGGCAGTGGCCTCCCTGGCCGAAGCCGCCGTAGCCGCCTCGCAGGAGATGCAGCAGGGCGCCACCGTCACTATGGCGCTCAACAGGTAAGGGAGGGGCGGGGAACGGTCGGCCGGGGGCTGCGGGTGAGGGAGGGATCCTGAATGCCCATTTGAACCCTTTGCCAGATCTCCATAACCCCTGCTTTCTCTCTTTCTTTCCTTCCTTCCTTCCTTTCTTTCTATCTCTCTTTCCTCACTCCCTTCCTCTCTCTTCTTTCTTCTTACCCATTCCTTCCTTCCTCTCTCCCCCTCTCTTTGCTTCCTTCTTACCTTCCTTTCTTTCATCTGTCTTTTCCTTCTCTTTCCTCTCTCCCTTCCTCTCTCCTTTCTTTCTTTCTTTCTTTCTTTCTTTTCTTTCTCTCTCTCTCTCTCTTGCCTCCCTCCCTTCCTCTCTCCTTTATTCTTCCCACTCTCTTCCATCCTCTGTCGTCTTCCTTCTTTCACCTCCTTTCTTTGTTCCTTGTTCTTTTTTCTTTCTTTCTCTCTCCTTTTTTCTTTCTCTCTCTCTCTTTTCCCACTCCCTCTCTCTCCTTCCTTTTTACCTCTTTCTTTCTTTCTTTCATCTATCTTTTCCTTCTCTTTCCTCCCTTACTACCTCTCCTTTCTTTCCTTTTTTTCTCTCTCTCTCTTGCCTCCCTTCTTTCCTCTCTCCTTCATTCTCCCCACCTTCTTCCTTCCTCTCTTCTTTCTCTCTTCTTTCTTTCTTCTTTCTTTCTTTCTTTCTCTCTCTCTTTTTTCTTTCTCTCTCTCTTGCCTCCCTTCCTTCTTTATTCTTCCCACCGTCTTCCTCATTGTCTGTTCTTCTTATACTTTCTTTCTTTGTTTCTTTTTGTTCTTTCTTTCTCTTTCCTCGCTCCCTTCCTCTCTCTTCTTTCTTCTTATCCATTCCTTCCTTCCTTCCTTCCTTCCTTCCTCTCCCTCCCTCTCTCTGCTTCCTTCTTACCTCTTTCTTTTTCATCTTTCTTTTTTTTCTCTTTCCTTTCTCTCCCTCTCTCTTGCCTTCCTTCCTCTCTCCTTCCTTCTTCCCACTTCTTCCTTCCTCTCTTCTTCTTCTATCTCTTTCTCTCTCTCTCTTGCCTCCCTTCTTTCCTCTCTCCTTCATTCTCCCCACCTTCTTCCTTCCTCTCTTCTTCTTCTATCTCTTTCTCTCTCTCTCTTGCCTCCCTTCTTTCCTCTCTCCTTCATTCTCCCCACCTTCTTCCTTCCTCTCTTCTTC